GAGCCAGTTTATTCCTGCTCTGGCTGCCTGAGAGCTTGTGAAACAGCGCTCTCACTTTGTGATGTCTCAGGTCCCACCACTCTTCCTGACAAAGGTCCTGTTGCACAGGTATCACAACCATAAACACCAAGCAATACAGGCCGACGCAGCTCGCATGGACCTCTGGCAAAGACTGGGAATGATGTAAAGGTTGGGCTTTTGCTCACACCTTCTGAGAGAGTGAGAAGAGAAGCGATTAACAGGGATGATTCAGATGCTGCAAGAATCACTCCTGCTCATGGAGAGCCCCGCTCAGCATGCAGCCAGACCCAGCGGGCTGTTCTATCATTATTTTAGGCCAGTGAGATGTCTACGTGAGGCCAAACCCAAACCCTGCCCTTTCCCCGCTCCCAGTTGTACCACAGACACAGTGGCAGAAACGCTACAGCAGGACCCGAGTGCTATGGGAAGAAAACTTCAGAACCAGGAGCAGCACGTCACGCAGTACGTGTTGAAGGGGCTGCGCCAGGACCTGTGCTCTTTCTTCCTTTAATTCTTCCTCCGATCGTGCCAGCTAATAGCTGTGTTCACTGGAACTAAGGTGGAATAAGACATATTATTTGCCATACTACGGTTTCTCTCTCCAAAAATAACTTCTCGGCGCTTCGGACATGCTGCTCAGCCAAGCCACGTCAGGTTCCACTTCAATCAAACCACACAGACATGTTGACTTTGTCGAGAACTTTTATTTCAAGGAGTAGAATTGTTCTGAGCGTATTCACAAGAATAAATATAAAATTACTCTTCAGAGTAAGAAGCCGAGCTTTTATAAAAATATATCTCTGTACCACAGAACGACTTAGGTAGGTTTCTCATTAGGAAATATTTAATAAAAAAATAAAACACTGACAATAAAATGCTTGACCTATACTGATTGGATCACCAAACAATTGAAATTTTTAAAAGGATATAAATATTGTAAATATCGTTAATAAAAATAACATTTAAATAAATGGGAAGCCACTGAGTCCATCCAGATGAACAGAACACTGCAGGAAGCCACCGCTCCTTCTACAGAGCACCAACTTCTTTGTATTCGCCGGCATTCGTTTGTCTCTTCTTGTTTCGGTACCTGGAAGTAAAGAAGAGAGGTTTGAGTTCTGGAAAGCCAGTTGTTCCAACTGGCTTTTTGAGGAATGAAGGGTGGGGGGTGAAGGAAGGAAGAAAAATAATGCTGCATGACCTCCTCACGTTCGTTTTAAAGCTCTAGCAGCTAGGCTCTGTCTGTGCTCCTTTCCAGGTCTGACATAACTTGCATGCGGAGTCTCCTTCCTCAGCTCGCCACGGAAGATTTCACAGCAGCATTTAAGTCTCACTCCTGGTATTAGGTTTGTCTTTGAGAAATCCTGCTGGATCCTTCCCTGCCACAGGGCCGAGTGTCCTAACCAACTAGGCCATCTGCTGCTTGAGCTGACACACCATCCAGTCTTCAGGTGGGCAAGAGGAACTGCCGTGGTTACCGTCTAGCTATCGGTCTGGGAAGTGGAGCTCTCCCTCTGGGGGCTGTTCCACCTCCTCTGCTCTCCGACAGCTGCTTACCATTAGTTATGAGCCTGGAGAATGATTCCTGCTGCTTGTGGGTCTGTTAATGGAGAAGACTACTGTCCTCCCCGGTAAAGCCGATACGGCAATGCTCGTGATACCACAGCCACCACAGTCACACGGCAGATAAACAAAGGAGCTTGTATTAATCCAGTCGCTCTCCAGTTCCTGATGACTGGGGAACGGCACTACCAAGGAAAGGAACTAGAACTTTCCTATGCCCTGCCTGCTGTCTTCTTGACCTCAACACATCCTCTAAGACAGATGTGAACTAACCTATACAGTCCTCTGTCGGGGTCAAAAGGCGACTGAGGGTACCGGTGCCTAGCCTGCCATTTGGGGCATGCTGTGTAGTCAGGATACTTCCTTCTGGGAACACTCCAACAAATGCAGGCTGGCAGGTCTGTGTGCCAAACTATCTCCGTACGACCAAGTGGGCGTAGGCATCCCAGTCAATCTGGAGGTACTCAGCAGACATCACACTACACATACAGCTGACCAGCCTTCCTGAGCCACGAAGAAAATCCTTCTTACCTTCTGCAGATGTAGTAGCTGGCAATGGAGATGGCAATGAGGAACAGCAGGACTACGATAACCGTCAGTGCCACATACTCCTTGCTGAGGGGTTGTCTGACAAGTTCTGAATGCACACACCGGACACCAGAGAAGCCTACGTCACACCTGAGGATAAGAGACATGGAATTAGAGACATCGCCGCGAGGTTACACTTCAGCATTCCACAAGGCAGTGCCTTTAAACTGAAAGAGGGGAGATGTAGATTGGATATAAGGAAGAAATTTTTCCCTCTGAGGGTGGTGAGGCACTGGAACAGGTTGCCCAGAGAAGTTGTGGATGCCCCATCCCTGGAAGTCTTCAAGGCCAGGTTGGATGAGGCAACCTGGTGTAGTGGAGGGTGTCCCTGCCCATGGCAGGGGGTTGGAACTGGATGATCTTTGAGGTCCCTTCCAACTCAAACCATTCTATGATTCTATGATTCCAAAGCATGCTATACTGCTGGCCTGCTGTTTCCTCAGGGACAGGCAAAGGGAACTGGTGTAACTCAAGCCTGTGTTGTCCTAGAAACGGCTGCAAATTCTTCAGGTAAATGAGGAATACCCTTAAAAAGGCGTAGAGGGTCTTTAATTTGTAGGCTAAACCAAAGGAGAGACCTTGCTGCCTTGCCTGAGGTCTGGATCTCACACTAGTACACAGATGAACAGAGAAGCACATCAGAACGAGCGTCCCAAGTTTAAGTAGGGTTGGGGACTAATTTCAGGTGTCTCAGACTCTCACCCAGGTTTCCCTGGAGCCAGCACACATGCCGAACACTTGCTTAAAGTCGCTGAGGCGTGTTACAGAAATACTGCTCTTCTTCAAGTCGTGCGAGCTCGTAAACGCTTTGCTGGATTCGTGTTCCAACTGAGCGTCAAGGGCGGTGAGATCAAAGGCCACGAAGGGTTTATCTCAAAGCCCACCTCACGGAGGGCTGCAGGTGGCCTTGCGCCCTCTTCCTACCTGCAATAGTGCTCATCCAAGTCCACGATGTACACGCACTGTCCATGGAAGCAGTAGTCCTTCATTTCAGGCTTACATCTAGTTATTCCAACTTGAGCCACACGTGGACTGTTCTCTGTCTGGACTGTAAGGAGATTTTGTTAGCATCTCATCAGCCTTGTTTTCCCTCTGTATTTCCCAAACAACACACAGCTTTACAAGTACGACTAACGGTCTCGCTACCAAAAGATCTTCAATGCAGTGGGCACTGAAGCAGGAGAGCCTGCTTCCCAGAGGGTTTTCCCAGGCCAATGTTACACTGGCTTTTCCATCAGGAGTTCTGCATAAGCTATTTCCGCTTTCACAGCAGAGTCCTCACCTAGCTGAAGCAGCAGCATTAAAGGAAATGCAAGCTAAAAAATGGTTCTTGTTCAACAAGTGCACTTACTCAGCGCCGTTGTGCAGTTCTCCATTTCACCGGGCCCACATAACGGGATCACTGTCGTGCCCAGGACCTCTTGCAAGAGGTAACCTACAAGAGAATAAAAAGAAGAGTCAAAACTAGATGCTTTTCCCGCACAGTTAATGATTTCAGCTGGTGTACTCATTAACTCAATGCAAGAAGAACAGAAGCTTTTCACCTTAGTAGGAAAAACCTAGTGCTGTAAGGTCTGCTGCCTACATCACGTAAGGCAGCCCAAAGAAACATCTCCGAAACACAAACTTGTAGAACAGAGATCAAACAGACACTGGGGGTCTGTGACCACCTCTCACCCACGCTCTGAGTGAAGCGGGGCAGGGACAGGCTCGGAAGGATGAGGCAGGAGAGGCAGAAATCAGTCCAACTCGATTATGTCAGGTTTCTGACTAGTCTGGCACGGCACCTGTGCAAAGGACACGGCCAGGGTTCCACACTGAGGTGGGACGACCCAGCACTCACCACAGGAGTTCTTCTGCAGATCGAAATCAAGATGTCCTTGAGAAACAAGAGTCCACAGGGACCTCTTGCCTAGGACTCGGCGAGGCAGTGCGGCTGGTGACTCAGTACACCAGGGGCTCAGCACCCCACCACTGGCTCCAGGGACCACATGGTGCTCAAGGTTGGCTTAACACAACAGCTTCCTTGGAGCAGCAAGGAACCTCCTCAGCCCTGCTGCAAACAGCCCAAAAGGCTGGACGGTTCATGCTCACACCCACTCTGCTGCTGGCGTTTGGCAGTTACGAGCCCGCTTGCTGCGACAGCTAACACGAGATACCAAACCCTCTTCATCCAGCCACTGGGCTGGAGAGGTTACTGACCGCTCACGGATTCTGGGCCAGTGTCACTCATCTCAGCAGAACCCCAGAGGAAAACAGGTACGTTTCTGCCCTTCCTTCACCATCCACCCTACAGAAAACTGCATCTCAGCAGGTTTGATGTGCGTACCAGGTGTGAGGGGAGACTGCACCATGAAGGCTGAGGATTTTGGCCACCAGAGTGGCTGCACTTCCTTGGGAAGCCAGCTCCTTCTCTTCTCTCGGACATTCAGCTTAGAAAGCTTACAAAGCATTTTGGCATTTTTTGGGTGGCACAGCTACAGCTTTTAGGTATTCTACTAATCAGATGAACATTTCCAAACAGGATTTGAAGGCCAACACAAGTGCTGGTAGCTTCATGGCTAGCCCATGAGGAACAGGCCCTGTTTGCCCCAGCTGGCCCTGAAATCCACTTGGCTAACCCTCCTGCTGTGGTCACAAACTAACCTGCTCATGAACCACTTAGTCATCAGCTCTGTTCCACAGAAGCCTGTAACTTGTGTCTTTGGGCTGTTTGTCTCTACTAGCTTGTCGGGTCACGCATGCCTAATGGAGGGAGTGTGCCTTCATCACTTCTTGATCACTCTGGTTATTAGAAAGTTTCATTACACCTCAGCGTTACGTCTAGTAGTGATTTATGCATTTCCTGCAGCTCAGCTACTTGTGGGTGACTAGCAGGCTTCCTTGGAGCTTTATACCAGCTAAACACAAGACCAGCAGTTTTTTTTTACAGGGGTTTTTGGCGCGTTTGCGTTTCTTTAAAAACACCGTTCCTTCTCCCTACCTCTCTCTCCACTGCATGCCTTGGGAAGCTAAGGAGCCAAGTTTCCCCAAGCTTTAGAAGACAAGTCAAAGACTAGAGGCACCGAAGCGAGAGCCGTGGGAACAGACCAGTGATGTCAGCATCCCCACTTTTACAGGAGACTAAGCTGGAGACACCTGTGCCTGCTAGCGTGACTCAACAGGACCTGCCTTTCACTCCGATGGGGCAGGACCAGTAAGTTTACTTTCAGGGTGGGATTTTTTTTTTTTTTTAAACAGCATGGTGCTCACTACAGATTTCGTCAGGAGAAGCAGTTTGACACTTCTGCAAGGCCAATTTAAGTCACTACGACAAAATTTAAAGTGTGTGAAGGGTGAGGTCATCAGTGGACAGGCAGTGGCAGTTCAGTTACTGCTAGAACAGCAGGCTTTGGACCTGCTGTCCCAAACAGTGCTGGGAAAAGAGGATTTACCAAGCCAGTCCTTCTTCCCAGGAACTAAAGGGACATTTCAGGAGTGCTCTGTGGACCAAGCTGTACCCTCAGCAGGGAGCAGCCCTAGCATGGGAGAGCTCTGTCCCACTAAGCGTACACCATGTCACTGCAAGAGAGGATGCCTAAATCCTGAGAGCAGCAAGAGTTAGTGCCCTCAGGCTCCCTCCTGCTCCCCCCGTACCACTGCTGGACCCTCTGTGTGATGTGCTGTGGGGGCCACGTGGCCGTAACGAACACAAACCAAGGTACTACAGCCACCCCAGACATCCACTTCTACTGTACTCGGTGAAGTAGATGGATTAAGGCCGCTTAATCCACCTCTTTCAGCCTACAGACTTCTGTTTCAGCTTGAGCACATCCTTGATCTGAGCATCACCTCAGCAGCCGCTTTTTCATCTCAAGTTCCTGGCTTGAGACCCGTCTTTTGCATTTGAGAAATTCAAACCTAGCAACATGCACGAGACAGGTCAGCTCTTCTCTTGGCTCCAGAAGAAGGTACTGCTTTTCAGTTAGAGGAAAAGCCAAAACTCAGACACCTGTGAGGGACAAATTTCCTCCTCCAAGACGGAACGAAGGCTTGCCCCATTCCAGCCACGTGCAACAACCGACAGCCTCCTCCACCTGCGTGCAGGCACCGAGGTTGGAAAGGCCGGAGTGCAGGTGTGGGTATTTGCTGACACGCAGCAGTATTTTCTGCATTGGGGCAAAGTTCTTCCTTCCCTGGAATGTTGCATTTTGCCCTTTTCCCCATGCACATATTTTTCCTCTGACATCAGTGGGAGGGGGATCCCGTGAGAGGATAAGGGATCCACACACCGCAGTGGCATAGGAGAGCCTTTCCCAGAATAATCATCAGATGATGTATACCAAACACAGGACCTAGGAGAGGTAGTTGTATTTTTACTCCTTCGCTGTTCACTAAGCAAATACTACAGGGTACAAGATAACAGTAACGAGGTGGTGGACGTTGACGTGTGCCGCGCGGGACGGCGAGCGCTACGCTTACCGCTGCGCCACTGGCATGCACGCACCGTACCGCCTGGCACCGCGGCATTCCCGAAAGGCGAACCCTGACGGCATTTCTGCTGGAACAGCAACAGTGCTGCTCTTTACTCAACCTTCAAGGAAAGATGGAAGGAAAATGAGGGACAAAGACTGGCTGCCTTCGCTTCCTGCAGCCTTCATCAGAGATGCCATGGAAGGGCTAATTACCAGTTCATCCACTGAAAGCCAGCTAGAGTTTCCAGTTACAGGATGACTGCTACGGATGGAGGATGCACATACAGGATACACGTAACTGACAACTAGTCTCTTTGCAAGACTTGCACCCATTTCAAAGGAGAACTGTCAGGTTTCTGACAGGTCGATCAACACTTGAGTTGGCTTTGCCTGTCACTAGTCTTCTATGAGTTCATCTGAAGAAGACGCCACGATGCTACTTCACGTTTGGCATCTCTGTGGCATCTCTGCCACAGAGACAGTGCTTACTCTTTTCACGTGTGGGGTGCACTTCCTAAGCAATGCCAAGCACAGAGGTGTCCAGGTGACACGCGTCTGGAGGATCTCAGCCCATTTTAAGGCTAGAGACAGATCAAGGTGGATCCCCATCACCTGATTTTGGGCACCCAGAGCATGTCTGAACTGTCTAAGACCTTCTTTGTGTAGACTGAACAGGAAACATGGAAGTCAGCCAATCTGTCCTGTCGGCTTTGTGAGCATCACTACTACCGTGGTTTAACTCCCGTGCATCACCTTCTGTATCTCTCTGCTGCTAACCTCCCTAGCTGCCTACAGAAGTTTGCAGGCCATCTCGGACAAAGCAAGTACCTCGGGCAATACAGGCTAGGTGGGTGGCTGTGTTTTAGGTGGAGACGACAAAAATGCAGAGTTAGCCAGGAAAGCCTTGCAAACAGCCTACTCCTATTCAAGACTTGGCTGTGCAACCGATACCCCTTGCTCACACCAACTGCAGCATCTCTGGAGTTCAGGTTGTCCGTGTGGGCTGAGCATTTTTGCCTGGGAAAGGGGAAGCGGTCACCCAAAATCATTTTAACCACCTCAGACAGAGCGCACCTCCCCATCCTCGCACTCAGGATACATCATCTGGCTGCTTCTTGATGTTTTGGGGAGGGTGTACCTGGTGCCTAGTTCCCTTACCGAGCCCATCAAGGCAGGTGCCCAACACTCCTCTTCCTGAGATGAGACACACAAGACGCACAGGTTGCTCTCCTCAGCGATGTGAAAGGAGATGCCATCAGCCCTCTCCACCCCTCATCCCCCTACGTTCTAAGTGTATTTGGCTTATTGTCTGAATGGAGGCACCAGATGAGATGGTACTGAAAGAGATAGATTCAAACAATTACCCTGAAGGCAACTGGCCAGAAGTGTCTATACATGTTTCTGGGAATTAGCGTCCAGGTTTCCCAATCTCACGTTTTTTATCCGTGACTTCAGCACTGCCGACTCAAAGTCAAGAACAGCCAGGGCCTAAAGCAGCCCTGGAAACAGCCTGTACAGGAAGACTATTGCTCCAAACTGCTCCAGGCCTGCATGATCATCTTCAGCACTGTGCCAGGACTTACCCTTAAGCAGAGATAATACAGATAATTACGTATTCTGTGCACCCAGTCACCTCGGCACTGCTTCCACCCCTGTGGAGACCTACACACCAGAGATCTTATTCACACGCCAACCCTGTGCCTGGGCTGCTCTGCTTTCCACCACACGTGTAGGGCAGAAGAAGCAGAAATCCATTACTGCTTCCAGCCAGACACATCAGCCACTGACGTTTTCCGCATCTCCACACTCAGCAACCTTTATGCTCAGCCCAGTTGCCGACGGCCAGACAAACGTGACGCAGGAAAAGATAAAGTCAGCAGCTCGTGAAACCATCTAGTGAGCCTGGAGATGCCAGGCTTGTCTTCCTCCCTGAGTGGGCATTACAGTGACCGAAAGGAAAGCAGTGCCAAGGTTCCCGCAGTAACTCACAGAAAAGGCAGGGCCTGAGCTTGGCCCCATCACTGCCACATCACCGCGTGGTTGGCACAGCGCTGTGG